ATATAAATACAGAGGTACATGTAAATATAAGTGAAAATATGTATATATATTATATATTTATGTATATATATATATTTATATATATATATATATTTACTGTTTGATATACCACCCTATTTATTATTTACTATCATGTGTACTTGCATTGATTAAATAATAATACTCACTGTTATATTAAGTTAAATTTGGTTTGTGATTATATTTATAATTTGTTATTTATTATTTCATTAAATTTGTTTCTAAAAATAGCAATTATACTTATTTATTATTTTATAAAATTTGTTGTGTGAAATAATAATTTTTTAACTTTTTAATTAAATTCGTGGAATACAATAATTATATTTATCATTTATTATTTAATTTAATTAAATTAGTTGTTGAAAATAATAATTACATTTATTATATATTTTATTTTCTCTCTCCTCTGCCCGATGCGGTGTACACGTGCAAGATGATCGATTGGGCAGTGCAGAAGGTCTATACTAATTATGAATATTCTTAATTGAATAAAAACAATTAAATTAATAAAAATAAATACATAATAGAATAATAAAAATAAATAAATAAATAAAATAGAATAATATACATATATAAATGAACAAATAATAAAGCCTTCTTGTTCTCTTTGTCTCGTGCACTGCGATGCCCGGCTCCTGATGCACGAACTTGGGTGAAAGAGAAGAAAAATAACACAAGGGATAAAGTTTTTGGATTTAAAAAGAAATAGAAATATAAAAGAATAAAAATATATTTAAAAACAATAATTTATTGATATTAAGCATAATTATTTATGCACTTCTCTTTGAAGGTCTTCCTTACCAATGGTCTGACTGTTGGGGTGTACGTACACCGCAACCAACACAGCATGGCGGGTGCGCAGTTATCTGCAAGCAATCAGTGTTTATTTTTCTCTTCTTTTGGAAGGAAACAAATGTAAAAGGTATTTATAGTTGAGTTTTAGTTGTTTTTTTAAGTTTTATTTCTTTTTTATGCATAAGTACTCCCCTAATCTGCAACCGCATCGAGACGAGCTGCCGAGACACCCGACAGAGGCGGTGTTCGTTCTGGTGCGTGTGTTGCGTTCAGGTGTGTACTTATGAATAATTTGCGAGTTTAATTGTTTTATTTAATTAATTATTTTGAATAATATATCAAAGTACTCCTCTAGAACCCCCCAAAGAGGCGCAAATGGAGAACACTGGAGCGCCTGGGCCAGCAGATACAGCTGCTGATGAAGTTGAGAAGAAACTCTGCCTCTTCTCTTCTTCTTCTTCCTCTTCTTCTTCTTCCTCTTCTTCTTCTTCCTCTTCTTCTTCCTCTTCTCCTTCTTCTTCTTTCTCATCTCCTTCTTCTTCTTCATCCTCTGCATCTCGCTCCTCCTCTTCTCCTTCGCTTTCACCCTCCTCTTCTTCTTTTTCTTCTTCTTCTCCTCCGAGATTTCCTTTCACTACACCTCTCACTGAACGATCTCCACTTAGACAAAAAGAAACCGCAGCGCAAACACACGCCGCCTCTTCGTATACTTCTCGCCCCCCTCGTGTTTCTGCTGCTGCTGTTCCTGCTGCTGCTGCTGCTAGTGGTGGTGCTGCTGCTCTTATGCCTCCTGCTCCTCCTGCTCCTGCTGCTGCTTCTGTTCCTGCTGCTGCTGCTGCTGCTGCTGCTGGTGATGCTGTTGTGGGGAGGCCACCGTCGCCAACTCGCAGTGTTCGACCTGGAAAGTTAAAACAAACAACAGAAAAAACAAGCAGATATTCAATTCGCGAGTTAGTTGCATTTGGAGTTGCAAATAAACGCAGGTGCCCGTTAGCTGTGAGGGGGGCAGCAGCAGCAGCAGCAGCAGCAGCAGCAGGCAGCGCAACAGAAGGAGCAGCAGGAGGAGCAGCTACAGCTGCAGCACCAGCAGCTGCAGCAGCAAGAGGCGCAGCTACAGCAGCAGCAGAGGAGCAGCAGCAAATGCTGCACCAGCGCAACCCGCAACACCACCAACATCAACAGAAGCAGCAACAACAACACCAGCAGCAGCAGCATCAGCAGCAGCAGCAGCAGCAGGTATGTGGGGGAGGGATGAGCTGCAGCGGTGAGGGTGGAGGAGTTGAAGAGCAGCAATCTGCTGCTTCTTGTTCTGTTTGCTCTCCTTCTTCTTCTTCTTCTTCTTCTTCGTTTTGCGGGTACGTGTACAGCATTGTTTATTTGCAGTTTGTTTTAAGAGGTAAACAAACAAAACAAACAAAACAAACAAAACAAACACAGCGAAGGCCTCTCCTTTCTTCTTTTTTATTATTTGTATTTCTTCATTATTTCTGTCGGTTGCGAGGAGGGCTGCGTTTGATTTTTAATATACAAACAATAAATAAATAAATAAATAAATGCGCGAACAAAGTTTGCATCATCATCATCATCATGGAACTTTGTTTGTTTTCTTTTTTCTGTTGTTTCTCTTCCTGTCTGTCTGTCTGTCTGTCTGTTTGTCTATTTATTTATTTATATTTGTTTAATTTATTTATTATTATTTCGGAGCCTGTCTGGCTGTCTGCACATTATGCGTCAAGCTGCTGCTGCTGTTGCTGCAGCGGCAGCAATAGTTGCTGCTGCTGCTGCAGCAGCAGCAATGGCTGCTGCTGCTGCAGGCCAGGGCAGCTGCTGCTGCTAAGGGCAGCAGCAGCAGCTGCAGCTGTTGCAAGCCTGAGCAACTGCTGCTGCTGAGAGCAGCACCAGCTGTTAGTGCAGCGGCAGCAGCAGAAACACAGAAGCAGCGAAGCAGCAGAAGCAGCAGAAGCACCAGCAGCAGCTGCAGCAGAAGAAGCAGCACAAGCACCAGATGCAGCTGCAGCAGAAGAAGCAGCACAAGCACCAGAAGCAGAAGCAGCAGAAGCAGCAGAAGCAGCAGAAGCAGCAGAAGCAGCAGCTATGGCTGCAGAAGCAGCACCAGAAGCACCACGAGCAGCAACAGCAGAAGCACCACAAGCAGCAACAGCAGAAGCAGCAGCAGAAGCAACAGCAGCAGGAGCAACAGAAGCAGAAGCAGCAACGAGTTGCAGCAGCAGTTCCAGCAGCAGCAGTTCCAGCAGCAGCAGTTGTAGTAGCAGGAGCAGCAGCAGGTGCCCCAGCAGCAACACAAGCAACAGCAGCAGCGACGGTTTACCCGAGAAGCTGCAGCAGCAACAGCAGCAAGAGCAGGACTTGCTGTAGCAGCAGCAGCAGGTGCTGTCGCTCTAGCAGCAGCAGCAGCAGCAGGCGCAGCAGCAGCCGCAGCAGCAGCAGCAGCAGCAGCAGCAGCCGCAGCAGCAGCAGCAGCAGCATAAGCAGCAGCAACAGCATTTAAAGTTATAAGATATGTTTTATTATTATTTGTGCGTTGCGATTTGTGCAGTCTTTTGTTTGGCTTAGAGGCGCGGCCGCCTCCGTCTTCGTCTTTTTCTTCATTTTCATCTGTCTCTTCAACGTCTTCTTCTTCTTCATCCTCTTCTTCTTCTTCTTCTTCTTCTACTTCTTCTTCTTCTTCTTCGTCTGCTTCTTCTGCTCCTGCTGCTGCTGCTGCTGCTGCTGCTTCTTTTGCTGCTGCCAGCAACGCGAAGAGCGCCAGCCGCGGGCGGAAGAAGAATGTGCGACGATCTGCAGACAGCTGAATTCGCAGCCGAAGCAAGACGAAGACAGACAGACAGACAGACAAAGATAAAAAATATAAATAAATATATAAATATATATATATATATATATATATTATATAGATAAATATATATTAATAAATGTGCAAATAATTATAGAAGGATAAGAATAAATGAAGAAGTAGATGAATAGATTAAGAAATAATAAGTGCGCATGCATACACATACATTATATATATATATATATATATATAATGTCTGTATATATGTCTGTATATAACAACATTAATTATTAATACAAAGGAAATATAATTATATATATAATGACGTAATAAATATAAGTTGAATAGAAATAAAAATAAATAAGTTAAAGTTTTTTTGCGTTTTTTTATTACACAGTGAAGCTGCATGCATTCATCTGCAGCCTCCTTCGTCTTTGCTGCAATTCTTTTTTCTTGGTGCAGCAGCTGCAGCAGCATCACTAAACAGCAGCAGCAGCAGCAGCAGCAGCAGCAAGCAGCAGCAGGAGACAACCGCTGCTGTATCATTTTTCTCAGTGTGAAGAATAAACCGCAGTTCAGCAGAGCAGCAGCTATCAATGGATTTGCTGCTGCGGCAGGTTTGCTGCTGCTGCTGCAGCAAAGCAGTGATTCAGCTGCTGCTGCAGCAGCAAAGCAGCAATTTGCTGATGCTGATGCTGCAGCAGCACTTCCTGACGAAGCTGCTGCAGCAGCAGAATGCGGAGCTGCAGCAGCTCATGCGAGCGCTGCAGCAGCTTTAAAGAAGCTGGTGTTGCAGCAGCAGCTGCTGCACCAACACCTCTGCAGCAGCACCTGCGGCAGAAGCAACTGCTGCAGAAGCACCTGCTGCAGAAGCAGCTGCTGAAGAAGCAGCTGCTGAAGAAGCAGCTGCTGCAGCAGCACCTGCTGCAGCAGCAGAAGCCCCTGGCCGGCATCTGAATGCGAGGCGTGGGTTTTACTACACAAGGGAGCAGCAGCACTATTGCTGCAGCAGCTGCTGCAGCAACTTGCGGCAGCAGCATTTGCTGCAGCAGCTGAACAACTAATAAAAACCTTCCTGGTGCTGGTGCAACATGCAGCAGCAGCAGCAGCAGCAGCAATTGCTGCTAAGGTTTTTTTACTGCTGCGAGATAAATAATATCAGCGCCTTCGCAATGGTGTTAGGGTCTTCGATATTAAATTTAAATGAAAGACAGCCACACCTAAAACAACACATGCAATTAAATCTTCATTTGCTGCTGCTGCTGCTGCTGCTGCTGCTGCTGCTGCTAATACTGCTTCTGATGCTGCTGTTGGTGCTGCTAAGGGTGCTGGTTAAGGGGGCTTACAGATCTTCGTCAGGAATGCAGCAGGCGAAAGTGCTGCTGCTGCTGCTGCTGCTGCTGCTGCTGCTGTCTGAACCAAATCCGCATGCGAGTGCAGCAACAGCAACATCAAAGGAAGTGATGCAGCTCTTCTCTGTACAAATAAATAAATAAATAAATAAATAAATAAAATAAAATAAATAAAATAAATAATAAAAAATAAATTAACAACACATACATCGAACCAATTAATTTAGAAAAGTAATTCAGCAAATTACACAGACGCAACAGCAGCAGCACAGCTGCTGCAGCAGCAGCAGCAGCAGCACGACTATTTGCTTCACTGCTGTTGGTTGGCTTACGCAGGAGAGCAGAGATAGCAGCAGCAGCAGCAGCAAGTGTTTGAGTAAGTCTGCTGCTGGTGGCGGTGGTATGAAGCTGCACAGCCGAAATAAAAGCAGCAAACAAATCTCGTGCTGCTGCTGTTAGTCTGATGCAAATAATAATTCAATAGAAATAAAACAAGCAGCGAGAAAAGTCTTAGCAGCAGCAGCAGCAAAAGAGCAGCAAGAGCAGCAAGAGCAGCAAGAGTAGCAGCAGCAGCAGCAAGAGCAGCAAAAGTAGCAACAGCAGCAAAAGCAGCAACAGCAACAAAAGCAGCAACAGCAGCAACGGCACCACCACAGCAGCAAAAGCAACAGTAGTACTAACAATAACAACTGCAGCAACCGCTATAGCAGCAGCAGCAGCAGCAGAAGCAACAGTAATAAAAGCAACAGCAGCAAGAGCAACAGCAGCAAGAACAACAGCAGGAGCAGTAATACTAACAACAGCAACAGCAACAAGCGTAGCAGCAGCAGCAGCAACCGTAGCAAAAGCAGCAGCAAAAGCAACAACAACAACAACAACAACAGCAGCAGCAGCAGCAGCAAAGAGATATACCCGATAACATTTGATTGAGGGCGACGCTTGGAGAGACTTTGAAATGCATGCAGAAGAGGTATTTGTTGCTGTTGCTGTTGCTGTTGCTGTTGCTGTTGCTGTTGCTGCTGCTGTTGCTGCTGTTGCTGTTGCTGCTGCTGCTGCTGCTGTGACGCTGTGGATGCAGCAGAAGGTAAAGAAGAAGCGCTCAACACAAAGTCAATCCAGCTGTTCTGCTGCTGCTCCTCCTCCTCATCTTCATCCTGCTGCTGTTTTTGCTGTTGCTGCTGCTGTTGTTGCTGCTGCTGCTGCTGCGGCTGCCCGTGCGGCAGTGGCTGGAGAGCGCAATAATAAAAACCGCAGTGAGTAATAAACCAAAGAATAAGAATAAGAATAAGAATAAGAATAAGAATAAGAATAAGAATAAGAATAAGAATAAGAATACAAATAAAGAGTTAGAATAAGAATAAGAATAAGAATAAGAATAAGAATAAGAATAAGAATAAGAATAAGAATAAGAA